TCGTTGTCCAACCCCTGCTCCCAAACCACCCCCCCGCCGACACTTTACAGTGGGGTACCCATATGAACACAGTCCCAGCTGCCCCCAGTTATTTACACACACGATCTGAAATATGGGACACGCCGGTCTCATCCAGAGGAAGAAGCACCTGCTCATGCCGGGGCTGCTAGAAGACCTGTCTATTATTTGAATGAGGTTTCTGTCATTTAGTATCCTGGATGCTGCACATCCAACAGGGTAGGAGTGGGGGGAGACACCATATACATGCATGAATTTACCAATGGTGTTTAAATACCTGTACTTCATTTTTTCTTATATATAATTATATACATATTCTTTCTTTTAAAAAAATTAAGTTCGTATGTTTCTACTCCCAGAAACTTCTCTGAGTCACGATGAAGTCTGCAAAAGGGGGGACTGGGGAGGGGGTTGATGTAAGGCCTGCCCCAACCATCGCCTGGGAGGTCCCATGGAAAGGAGAGGACAACCTGAGAGAGGAGGTGGAAGAAACGCAGTCTCCCATACACACGGTTCCTGGGTGCTACCGAGGGATGGGAGGAGGAAGGCGTTAACCCTGCCTGCAGCAGGAAACACAACTGAAAGAGTTTGCTGCCCTCTCAGGTTGCAGCCCTTCCCACTACACCAGTTCAGAGGGCCCAAGAATCAACCAAGGGGTCCCACAGGCAAAAGTAATGCTATTTACAAAATGGAGGGGAAACACCCCAAAACCCAACTATTCTCATTTTGACTAGGAATGTTGGGTTGGAGGGGACAAAATGTATGTAAAGAGGATAGGTAGGTCCAAATAATTTTTTCAGACTTTATGTTAAATAACTTGTCTTAATACAGCTATCTGGTCATGGCTATGCTAACACCCACACAAACCAGTAAGAGGGATAGACTCACATTTATTACCTCCTCCCACAAGCCTCTCCACTTCCCAGGCAGTTACCATTCAGCATTTCTCTCCCTGGCCCAATGAACGGCCTGTGGTGAAACATATTCACAAGGTGCAACAAAATGTAACACATTTATGCTCTCTTTGTTCTGTAAACTAGAATTTTAAGGATTTCCTACTGCCAGCAATAGGAAGTTAGCAGGGAAGAATCAGTTGGATCAGTCTCAAATTTTAAAGAGCAACACTACCTCCTCACCCCTCTCAGCAACAAACTTGTGGCACCAGCATCGCCTTTACTGGGCTTCCACTACTCAATTTGTAACATCCAAGCCTTGGGCAAACAGGTTACAACTTTGCTGTTTAGGAAAAAACAGTTGCTTAGAGGACAGCAAGCGAAGAAACAAGAGGCCCAATAGGACATACTTCAAAACAAACCCTTTCCGATTCATTCTTCAATTACAGATCATCATCTCAGTCCTAAATCTACTTCCCTGAACCCTTTCTGTACTAAATCTTTCACAGGTATTGGCCAAATGGTGTTCCTCAGGCCCAGACCATCTCTACCTCTACTCTCTTTTCCTGAGTGTCCTACACACACTATTCTAATTTGTTTTAAACTACACAACCATCCTCCAGCTGATCTACTTGCCTGACACTTCTCTTACTGTCATTCCGATCAGATTTTCCCTCTGGTTTCCTGTATGCAGCCGTGACCCCAAGCAAAATCCATTCCAGGAAGCAAAGCCCACTCCAATCAGCCCCAAAATCAGATTTGCTTCACACAACTCATTCCCAAGGAGCTTTATTTCGTATCTCTATGCCAGCTTCACTGGTTGTTGCTCTTTACCTTAACAGGAATTTGCATTCTCGCCACTGGCTCTTCTGCATCATCTCTGACCCTTTTTGTCACTACCTCAAAGTTTAAATAATAAAATGGAATAAAATTGCACAGGGAAGTAATATAAAGGACCCTCAAACCGTTATCGCCAGTACCAAAAGATACCTGGGTTGAAGGGACTGCTATTTTACCTGAGTGTCTTGTGGCCCCAGTACAGCAAGAAATTGCCTGTATACTAGGACATATGTTCACAGTCTGAAAGTGGAGGAACTAATTGTCTCAAAAGCAAGCTTGACCCACACTAACTCCATCAGAGATCCAACGTGACTGTCATCATATGTTCCACTCGCAGCATCTCCAGCACGCCTTTTCACTCAAGGAAACTGCCAGAAATTTCCTCTCTGGTTTTCAACTTGCCTGCCTCTGCAAAACCTGTCTGTGCAAGAGAAGCTGCCCGTGAGACCAAGCACACCAGCTGATTCAGCACAGTGCAATGCTGAGTCAGGACTAGAAAAAAACATTTTTAAAGTTTCAGTACAAGCCCACGGAAGGAAAGATTAGCAAAGATGCCTGAAACCTGATTAGGCAGATTTAAATTACAGGCAGAAGTGGGTGGAAAGCTCTCAAAGTGCTCCCCATACCGCCAAGTCCCGAAGCACTCGGCAGTGGTGATCAGCCAGCAAATCTGTTATGGGGAGAGCGACAACTGCAGATTATTCAGCCCTGGAGTTATTCAGAAGAAACAGGTCATCCTACACCAGTCTGGCCAGCCCAGTAGAAAAAAGGCTGCACTGCAGATGTCCAGTCACAGAAAGACGAGAAGTCGACAGACCACATTTCCAAGTGCCACAGGGTTTCAGAGAGATGACAGCCAGGACAGTAAAATGAAAGAAAATGGCTTCAAGCCTGTAACCTGTGGAACCAGGTGATGCAGTCTGTCCTCCTTCGAGTGACTTCCACAGATGCTAGCATTCTCTCTCCCATTGAAAGCTTGTTGCTTGCATTAGTTTTATAAACTGGGATTACACTGCTCTGCCTTAAAATACAAGGCAGACTGGAGATGGAGGAAGAAATAAAGCATTTTGTGTATCTGTCCCTGTCATGGAAAGGAGTGGGAATAAGGGGGAAGGTGCTGAAGAATTTCATTGGTTTGAAAATTTTTTTTCTTAGCTTATCATTGACCAAAAAAAAAAAAAATCACTGGATAGTTTTAAGCCACTACAAACACAAGTTAGCATGGGCTTAGAGAAGCTCCACAGGGTGAGAGAGTATTGCACACACAAATGCAAGAAGGAAAGATTTTCTGTTTCTCAGACAAGAAATTAATGAAAAGCAAAGAGGCTGGGGCAGGGGAAATGGTGGTAACTGCATCCCAAAATATCTTGTTCAAAGGTTTTGGGAAACCATCTTCTGTGGGTAGTTGAAATAGCTTTACAAAGTAAGAGAATCTTAGCTGTCTTGGGATGTAATTATTCTGTTTTCCTGGAAAAGCAGGAATAAAACATTTTTGCTATCACAGTGAAATGAACAAATGACATGGGTGAGCCGTTGCACTGAAGATCTCTCAAATCCAGAGTTACACTGTAAGAGATGGAAACCAGCTTTTCCATGTCACTTCTCAACAAATAAATCATCACCCCAAATTCCCCAGTCATGATAACATCAAAGTCAATATCCAATTCCTAATCATGAAAGGCAGCTGAAACAAACTTTCATATTTGTATCTAAATTCCACTTTTAAAATGTCTGCAGAAAACCCAGTCTGAAGTATCAATATAATGTCAAATTTCAGATTAAAAATACCACTACCGAATTCATTAAGTAATCTCCAAAGTATGGTCCAAGGGTTGCAGAGCCTTCCCCCAGAGGCGAATACAGATAAAAATTCAGTGTGGGGGCTGTCTTGAAACAAGAGAAAAGCAGACAGGGTTGTCATGACAACAGTAGCATTACTCCAGGTAACAAAACTAAAGCAGGAAAAGAAAGAACAGCAAGACAAGATTTGAGCAGAAAACAGTTCATTAATTGCACAGACACTCCAGCCTGTCGCCCTGTCGGGGGTTTATAATACAGAGATTGTTTCTCGCTGGGATATGGCAAAGGGATTAACAGTTTTTGTTAAAGGACAAAGATAACAGCCACAAACGTGACATAGAGCAACAGTCAGAAAAATAAATTAATAAATAAACCCATAAAAAGTCTGCTTCTTGATTCTCATGAAGCCTTGGAGAGGAAGGGATTGGCTTCACTCGGACTCCTTTGTTTTTAGTCAGCAGTTCAGAATTTCTTGGATAAACTGGATTTTCTTTGTTTCTTTAGGTGACAAACATCCTGACCTCCTGGCTATGAAGAAATTTCAAGGCAATTTCTCCAAACTCCTCTTTCAAGACTTTGTCTAGAGACAGAAAGTTGAAGACCATTGGGGAAAAAAGTATTAAAATTGTGGCCAGCACATTGCTGAGAATTAGAGCAAGTAAGTTGCAGGGGCCTGAGGAAATCAATTTATAAATGTCTCCCCACCAGCCCCAGACCAGTGCGATGATAGCATCAATCTGAAGCTCTCTCTGTGGTCCTCTTCTTGGGATTATCTCTGTGTATTCATGAACACCTGAAAAACACCCCTCTTAGAGTTTTTTGTCCATGCGTCGTTCCACAGCTTGTAGCAATAGCTCTGAGTACTGTTCCAGCAAAGCTAGCGTCTGCTCATCTCCCAAACTCTTGGGACTTGGTAAACTGGCACCACATCCCTCATTCAGTGGGCTAGTGGTGTCTTGTGGCTTCGCCAGTACCTCCTTAACCTTCGGAAACTCTTCCTCATCCTTCAGAGAGTCCAATTCTTTCTTCATTGAGGAGAATGTTTCTGTCAGGAGGCCTGCTATTTTATCTTTGTCAGTAGAAGACTCTGTATCATTTAACACCTGAAAATAGAGAGGGAAAATTAAAAAAAGAAAGAACAGAGCACCAAGTAAGCAGTTTCAGCCCTTGAGGGAAGTGAAGCCATGAAGATTTGCAGACCCTTCAAGTGTCTTTTTCTTCAACATTTGAAACTGCCAATTTAGTCATATAGCAGGGCATGCATCCAATCCACACAAAATCCAGAGGCATTAGGCCAGAGATGGGAAGCACATTTTTGGGTAGTGTGACCCTTATGCTATGTTTCCCAGCTGCAGCACAGGGCCACCATCTCCTTTTCTTCCTGTCTGCCAGAGGCAGCTGGTCACAGGAACAGAGCAAGGTCGGAGAGCTAATGCTAAGGCCACAGCTGCAGAGGACCACATGGCAGAAACTCACAGTGGAAGTTTCGTGCTTGCTACAGAGGACTTGACAGATCAGTGCTAAGCAATAAAAGAAAGAGCTGTTATATTGCTCTGCGTGTAACTCTGGTCTGGCAGTGAGAGGGACAGGGCGAGTGGTTGCATGTTCCCTCTCACAGCTGGATTCCCATGGTATCTCACATTTGCTAATCCTTTTCCCAGGCATCAAAGACAGAGAACAGATGGGGATAATAAAACTTAAAGCTCCCATAGTATTTCCTATCTCTGAAGCACTGTATAAATATTAACTAATTCCCTAATACCCTTTTGAAAAAGAGCGTGCTGTTATCTTCAGTTTACAGATAGGCTAAACAGACTGAAAAGTTAATTGATTTGCTCAGAGTACCATAGCAAGCCATTGGAAAATCCAAAAGTTGGAAATGAGGAGTTCCTGCCTCCTTAGTTCAAGCTTTAGGTGCAGCGGACAACCAGGCAACTTGCGTCACTGAACACCCAGTCAAGAGAACGCCTTAAGCCAGCAAGCACATACATTCAATGCTCACAGACTATAAAGCCTGCTGTCACAGAACCCACATCTGAGGTCACTCACCATGCGGTAAAGATGAATGGCTTTGCGCATGCTGTCCTGGAGCTCGGATACCACGTGCTCACACTGCTCTACGCTGATGCACGATTCTGAAGGGGGGGGGAAATAAAAATGCAAACTAAGGCACAGACAAACTCCAATATCCATGATCTCACAGTTGGGTAAGAAAACATTTTTTTAAATATATATTTGAAAGATCACGTGCATACACTTCTCATTCAATTTTTAGAGCCAATCATTAAACACATAAGTTCTACATGAGTTTTTCTGCATACTATCTAGAGATGCTACTTGTTTCAAACATTCCTGTTTTTCCAGTCTTTAGCCTCTCCAAAGTCAACAATGGTTTTTCTCAGATCACACATCCTTGTTACAAGTCAAGGATAGTCACAGATTACCCATGCCATTCTCAACTATAATTAAAGTCAAGTTTGAATGAAGGATTCCAGTGGCAAAAGGGACCGACGTGAGAAGCCTGTAATTTAGCTTCCACCTATTCAGCAATCTACATACTCCCCCTCATGTACTTTTTTGCACAGTGTAAAACTAAACACTGAGGATGAAGGATTACACTGAATTATTACAGCATTCTCTAGTGAGGACTTAGGTCCAGAGCAGTGTTGACAAACAAACTCAATCACAGCAGAATCACATTTCTGAGCAACCCAGGATATGCACTGCTGATACACCGTAATTAAAAAATGAAAAATATAAGCAAGCAACTAAAGAACATCATTCTCTGCCTGCCCCCACCAGATATTATCTCCAAAGCATCAGAGTTGAAGGCCTGTAATGCTTTATAAAATAAATGCTTTCATGAGTTAGACATAAACCATGAACAAAAACATAGACACACACACAATCTGTAGTTATCTTCAGTTTACAAAGGCCTGGACAAAAGCCATTCAACTTCCTTTAGTTACCTAAAAACAAAACTTGGTCACATTAGCACTATTATTTCTGCACTTCTAAGAACATCAACTTTGAACAGGCTGGAGGGGACCTTATCTAATTTTATGAATACATTTAGATGATGTATAAACAAATACAGCTAGAAAAACATCTATTTATACATAAACAAACACAACTAGAAGAACAAAGGGGGATGAACAAATCCTTCCATGCGCATTTTTCATTTCCAGATTACCCAACCTGGTAGAGTTTGAGCACAGTGGGCTTCAGTGCAGTCCAAGACTCTTGCCTTTTCTTTTTTTTTTTTTTTTGTTTGTTTGTTTTTTTGTTTTGTTTTTTATCTTTTTTTTCCTGCTCCCCTCCTCCCCTCTTTTTGTTTTAAACCCAGCTGTTCCTTCTCATGATCATTTCTGGATTTCTCCTCTGATCATGCTTTTTACACTGGTCTCCAGCTGTGTGAGCTGCCAGTCTGGAGAAAGGTGACAAACATAACATAAATGCTTGAGTAACAGGCATTTTCTGCCTCTCAGGTGTGCAGAGCAGAGCTCTTCAGAAACCAGCAGAGAATATTAAACACAGCAACAGCATTAAGCACATCTACAGCTTTTTAACTGTAAATGTCAAAATGCTTAAACAAAAACAATTAAGTCTCTTTATTTGCAGCTGTTATACAGGCAGGAAAATGGAAGGACAAAAAAATTAAGTGGAAACCCAAAGTCACAGAGCAAGTCAAAAGCAGAATGGGTCTCTGTTAACCCTAATCTAAACTGCTACACTATGATCCACAGAAGCCACAGTAAATTGTTCAGAGCAATAGCCTACTTGGATCTAAACAGCTTTTCCAGCATCTACCACTAAAAATTTGGGAAACGTGGTCTGCAAGAAGTTGAAGGCTGACAGCTGTCTTTTGAAAAAAAAAAAAAAAATCGGGGATCCACTGTGCTAAATCATCCTAACTCACTAAAAGATGCTGTTAAATATTCTGTCAGGGCATGCTATGTATTGGGAGCTGCTTTAAAAAAAAAAAAAAAGAAAATAATCACTGGTGAAAAAAAAAATTGCTTTTTTTCTGCACTATCTGCTAATTTGCAAAGATTCCTTACAACTGACCAAAAATCATGTGATATATAGCTTGATTCCCAAGTCTAGAAGAGAAAACTCAGCCTAAAGACTACAGGCAACTGGACTGTTACTTCTCTTCTGTAGAATGGGACTCCACAGCTCCAGTCTGCATCTGCTGTTGGAAGAAACCTCACCCTTGTGGGGGTAGGGTCTGAAAGTTTCAGATGCACTTGCTGTTCTACAGAGCAGCTACCCTATGGTTTGATCCCTCTAGAAGTGCAAAAAGAAAAATAATAGTGCATTAAAACCAGATTATCCCTCTGCTATGCTTTGGTGCAGAGATACTGTGCTTAATCACTGCAATGGAGTAGAGGTGGAGCAGCCTGGCAGCGCAGAAAGTAATGGATCACAGGATTACAGAGGTGTCCCTTCTCAGATATGAATAAGAACAACATAGCAAAAGAGATTAAAAACTGTGCACTGTATAGCCCCCTGAAGGTGTAAGGTATCAGTGGTTAACATTCAGCTTCCTGCTGCAAAACTCAGTCGAGTCTTTCAGGAAGGCATATTTCCTTTCAGGTTGTGACACAAAAGAAAAACCTCTGGAGGTTTTAGTCCCACAGCAGATGCTGTGGGACTAAACTGTGTCTTCTCTGCCACTGGAGGTTTTCTGCCTTGGAGGGCAGGATTTTTGCTTCAGTTTGAAGTTACCTGCTAGTTTTCATTTGATTGAAGTACCTTAAATCAGGGCCTGTAACAGATCCAAGAGCTGTTTTCAGCAGGTAAAACAGTTTCCCACCTCGTACCTTTATCTCTAAGCTAGAGATAATTCAAAAATTAACTCATGTTCTTTTATGCTCAAACCCAAAGGCTAGGCCTGCACATGCACTGCACACCCAGTTTGCAGACATGTCCTCAGAGCAGAGTGATAGCAGCACAGAGACTTTCTTGCTCTCACAGGCAGCTACAGCAAGGAACTCACCTTGCTCAAGCCTTATCTCATGAGAGAAAACTGTATGCAAACCCTTCTGGACCCTGCGCACTTGCACATTAACAAAGTAAAGCCTGAGCTGCCTGGCATACTTTCATTATCTGTGCTTGCTAGGTTCAGCTAGTACGTGTTGGCCTGCACCTTCATCTGCTGGTCAGACATGCTTTGAGAAGGGCACGGAGGATGTAATCTACACACTTCATGGGGATTCCCAGCATGTCAGCTTTTAGCATTGACCAGAAAGAGGTTTGAGCCCCTACAGGTAACTGTACGGCTAAAAACATGAGAATGCTGAGGTCTACAAAACATTCAGCTAAAAAGGACCTTCAGACATAAGACCCAGAGGAAATGGAAATTAAAGACTGAAAAAAAGATGTCAGGTTGAAGAAGTGTCTCACCATTGAGGGGATGGCTTATGGAACGAGACAGGTGCAGACAGGACGAGACAGGCCAGAAGCTGGACGTAAAGAAATGTGATGGGATCGTGAGGCGGTTCACAAAGACAGGAGACAGAAGGGGGAAGATAAGAGATGGGTATCCATGCACACCTGAGACCTGTGCTGAGGCAGTTATAGATGTAGGAGACCTTGGCCTGATGGGGTCTAGTGGGCAAAGTCCAGGCTGCTTGTCTAGTACACAGGCGATGCCAGCGATCCTCTCCCTGCACCTGGGCAGCGTGCCCTCAGGAGACGTTAGGTGCCGGCCCTCTGACAACTCCCTCAGTTTTGGATTGGTGACCCCTGGCTCATCCTGGCAACCTGTCCTTGAGACTGGACTCTCCACTGGGCTCTCCTTAGCAAGTCCTGTGGGGATCTCTCTACCAGGAACCAGAGACCCAGCAGTTTGATTCTCCCTCTTGGAGGCTCGGACCTCAGGAAAAGAGGGTTTCTTTTTACAGGCCCCGGCAGGTGACTGCGGAGACTGTGGCTCAAGCAGGGTTTTTGTTTTGGTAGTGGGTGAGAAGGAGGCCAGTGTGGGTCTATCAGGCAACGGCTTGGGAATGTCAAGAATCAGATGTGCTCGGTTTGATGATGCTAACTTGCTGTGGAAGGACTTGGGAGATGAGCAGTTTACAACTGGCTGAAGCGCTGGCTTCACTGGAACATTTTCTTTCACCGGTAGCTTAATCTTCTCAGCATCTGCTGTGGAACTAAACTGTGTCTTCTCTGCCACTGGAGGGCTAGTCCTCCCATCAGTCAACATTTCGGTGGAGTAACCAAGGTACAGATTTTCCCCTACAGATATGCTCCTTGACATCTTAGCCCGGAAGCTGGTTGTGGGGTTCATGTAGGACTTTGGTTTTGCAGCCCTGACATCTTTGGCCAGCAGAGCACCAGATCCATCCATCTTCAACATATTGGCTGATAACACCCTGCAATTGTTAGGTCTGGGATCCTTCTCAACCACCAAAAGAGTCTGAGGACGCTGCCTGGCAGAGGATATCACTCCAGGACCCTTATCTGTGAAAATTAAACAGACAAACATACCAAAAATAGACAAGAGCCTGCAGTGAATTCCAAAATCGGAAAGTAACAGAGCTGCTCCAGCCTATGTGCCTCAGCTCAGCCCCTGGGAGAGGTCTACAGAACCACTACTTCAGGTTAATATCACCAAGCCTCAACAGCTTGCTTTCTGGCCCATCCCTCATCCTGCTTACACACTGCTGCTTACCTGATGAGAGAGACCTGTTCTTAAAGTGTATGGCCAGAAATCCTCAGACCACTGTGACCGTTAAGGGAGAGGCCAGAGGAAGCAGGCAAAAACTGGCATACAATGTTGCAGTGATAAGGTTTTTTTGTTTTTTTTTTTAAACAAACTGAGTGCTTATTGATGGTTCACCAGTTGACTGTTTTTTCAAAACTAGAGTTCTTTCACACAGAGTGTACGGATACAGTAAGCTCTCTCTTACTGTCTCCTCCTTCCCTCTTTCTCTCCTCCTCACTCTGGGGAGCTTCAGTGTTGGCCTGGAGCAACCACCCACAGCAAGAGAGAATTTCTTTGCAAATAGTTCATTTCACCCTTGGCGTTGGTCCTCCCACAGCTGCCAGACAAATATCAGAGACCGATAATTAGGAGACCAGCATCTGCATTATAAACTAAAAATATTTTCCCTTCACAGGCTAAGAGTCAGAAGACGTGCAAAGCCTGTAGCTCAGAATGCAGAAAGTCATAAGCTTAATTTAAATCTCCGCTCAAGGTCAAATCTCCCCATTTCATTCTTGGGTTTATACCATCATTCTAACCTGTGTCCTTACCCTCATGAACGAGGTCGTGAACTGATTGCGCCTTTCTCATCACTGCATTCACAGGGCCTTCTGGAAAGGATGCAATAACCCGTCCAGGAGCCATACCAACTCTGCTGGCCTCCAAAGCTGATCTGCGTTTTTTCTGGACATAAACAGCCCGATTTAAATTTACACTCTCCAGGAGCTGGCTGTTCTCCAATGCATCACCAGGATGGCTGCCGCCATTTTTGAACAGGTCTGGCGTAAACCGATTGGTCTGGGTTGGTGGCTCAATGGGCTTTGAATCCAGTATCAGATTTGACGACGAGAGTGACAATCGTCTAGAGAACATGATAAAGAAGTCTCAGTTAAAACTAGTAGGTATGTTGCCCTGGACAAACAGGTACACGCATTAAGCCAGTTTCTCTGGGATAAAGAGCTCTTCGCTATCTGGATTTTTTTTAAGACAAAAATGCCCTAGGCTGTTACCACTTCATTCTACTCATCCCTGGAAGGACTGGTCTTCAGGCATTTGACCTTAGGCTGCATGATCACAAATAGCATTGGGTCATTGTTTCCAGGGAGGACACTCTAAAAGGTGAAGGCAAAAGAGAAGGAAAAATTCCAGGCAAGAGGGAAGACTGGGCAAAGTCAGGTCAGGTCTTTGCTCTCAGCTCACCTTACTAAGTGAAATCTCTTCAATTCTAGGCTATCCTAAGAGAAAGTAATTATACTTTCCTAACATTATGAAAGCATAATTACTAGGAAAGTTGGTCAGTATCTTCAAGAGGAAAACTTAATTTCCTCTTCCTCTCCACTTCAGACAAGCACAGTGCGCTTACTTCGGAAAGGAGGCAACTTTCAATCTGGCGTGTTTGAACAGCTGAACAGATTAAAAGCCCAGAGGTTTTCATAGCCTAAAACTACCTCACTTGTTAGATCTCTAGAGTGTCACCATTGCATCTCTCCAGAAGCTTACACAATAGCTAACCATTGGCTTTCTTCCCAAACATACAGTTCCAACGCAAGACAAAGAGGCACTCCTGACAGCAGCAACAGCAGCCCAATACAGCAGTGACAAAAAAAATTTCTCTAACATGGTGAATCTAGACACAGCTGGTGAACCATAGATGTACCCAAATCTGCTCAGTCCTATACAATGAAATTAATCTGAGCTGAGATTTTACGCTGTCATTTTAGAGGAATACAGAATTATTTGTTTGTTTTAAACATTTATGAACCCAAATCAACAAAAGTATTTACCCTATTTTTTGTTTATTTCTTTCTTTGTTTTGTTGGGATTTATTTTTTAAACAACCAGGGAAACAGCTTGGAGAGGCCTTTTGGGGTGCTTTAGGGTTGAGGGGTTTTTTGAGGACTAATATGGAGCTTTGTATGAGACACCAGAGCACCCTATGAAGGCTGAGAAACAAAGCTGAGTAAGAAAGGACTGTAAAACAAAGGAAAAGTTGACAAGCCTACTTTCATTGTCCAAGCTGAATGAAATGCAAAAGAACAAACAGAGCATAAACAGTGAAGAGTAAATTAGATGATTAGTGATTCCTCCAGCTCAATCAAGGCATTAATCATTAAACAACTAAGCACATTGTTGAAAGACAAAAAAGAATAAAATAACAGCATTGCTTTAGGAAAAAAAAAATAGAACAGCTAAAGTGACACAGGATGGTCTGTCCAAATCATAGGTGTCTGCAACCAGCCTGCCAGGTGCTATGCTAACACTTTGCTGTGCCTAGGCACACCAGGGCCAGGAGTTTGCTCAACTATTTTGACCCAGGGCCTAGCACAAGACCTACTCACACTAGTAAAAACAGACAGAAACAAACACTCAAAAGAAGCAGAGCCATACCTGAGAGCCGGGGACTGGGAAAGAAAGCGAGAGGAAATGCTGAGATTTTCAGTTCTTTCCAGATTTCTACAAGAGCCACCTAAAAGTTTTGTTTAAAAGGGAGAGAAAAAGGGAGCAGTTTAGTCACAGAACAAACATTCTGGCACATGCATTTTATTATCACAGAGACTATCAAATGTTCCCCCATATACAAGGGGATTTTTTGAGCTAAAACCACAGAGAATGAAATAATTTCATTGCCTTTGCCATTTCTGTTCTACTTAGAATACTCTGCGTTAAACTGCTACTCTCCCTAAGGGTACGCCTCCTCCTTTTTTGCTTCCCTTTGTGTCCTATCCTGCCTGCAGGACTGTGAGGCACTGGCATCAAGCAGAAAACAAACCAATCAAAGGAGGAAAAAAAAGAAAAAAATCCAGACAACTCACATAGCTATCGCTGCTTGCAACCATTATCAATTCTAAAAAGATACGCTTTGTTCTGGAGTTGGTCGATAAAGACTAACCAGCTCCTTTGCCACTCTGATGTCTCTTATTCTCTCCCTCCACCCAGCATTTCAGCATTTTCTTTTGTGACATTTGTTATGCCTCGGTATACCACTAGAGGCCACTACATGTCACCTATTGGGGGGGGGGGAGGCGGTGTGAACACACAGTTAATACCTTCATATACGACAGGAAAAACTAGCCTGGGAAGAAGAGAACAGCTCTTCAGGATTCCAGGGACAACATTTAACCCGAACTGATACAGACCCCAGTCTCATTCACACAAATTTACACGCAAACTGAGGGAGTCAACAGATGTCACTTCTTTAGGCCTCCCTATTTTTGCCCCCTCATACACACACACACTCTCACAAAAGCCCAGCAGAACTTGTAGCCTGGTTTGGTTTATACAGGGGACAAATCTGAAGTGACCTCACAAGGTCCCCCCACCGAGCAGAGAGCTGTACCTTTTCCATCAGTGCTGCCCAGGGTCCCAAAATGCTGCTTGAGGAACTTTTCCTGATCAGGTATCTGGGAGATTTCTCCCTCCGGCATGCTAGCACCCACGTCTTCCTCTCCTTCCTCTCCCTCCAGGTCTGAGATGCCGTCCACACTTAGGGGTTCAGTGCTTTCAGAATCTGGGAAAAGGCAAAAAAACCCAATGCTGTAATAGCATAGTCACAGTAACATTAGCCAGATTGAAAAAAAAAATCAGCAAAAACGCCAAATTGAACCTAGAATGTTAAAGCAAAAGCCGGTCAGCAGTGAGTGTAATTCTCTAATCTATCATATCCCACACACAGCACAGCCTATGGGATAATCAATACCAAATCTGCTTCCTCACCTAGCAAGGTAAAAGGAAGCCAAAGGCGCACAGGGAAAGCACGCTTTAACCAACTGTCCTGGTTTCGGCTGGGATAGAGTTAAATTTTCTTACTAGCAGCTGGTATAGTGCTGTGCTTTGGATTTAGGATGAGAATAGTGTTGATAACACACTAATATTTTAATTGTTGCCAAGCAGTCAAGAGCTTTGCAGCTTCTCATACTAGCCTGCCAATGAGAAGGTGGGGGTTGCCCAGGAAGCTGGGAGGGGACACAGCCCCCCCCAGCTGACCCAAACTGGTCAAAGGGATACTCCATACCATATGACATCATGCTCCGTATATAACTGGGGAAGTCAGCTGGGAGGCACATGGCTCAGGAGCTAGCTGAGCATCGGTTCTGGGTTGTGAGCAGTTGTGTTGTGCATTACCTGTTTTGTATATTCTTATTATTCTTTTCCTTTTCTGTCCTATTAAACTGTCTTTATCTCAACCCACGAGTTTTACCTTTTACTTTTTGATTCTCCCTCCCATCCCACTGGGGTGGAGGCAGTGAGTGAACGGCTGTGTGGCTGTTTTAGCTGCCTGCCGGGTTGAACCATGACACTGCTTCTACAGCGGCTTCACTGAAGCGCCTGTTCAAATGTGCCTGAATCATGCAATACTAGCAAGACTACTTGGAGTCTGACCTCAGCTCAGCTCATGAAGAGGACCAGGTACTAGAGATCAGGATAGCAACTGATAAATATGGCACAGAACCACTCCAGCAAGTTTCTGCAGTGTTCCACATCACATATAAATACATTTATGTCTTTGCATCTTACCTTCATTTGGATGGTCTGGGCTGGACAGACGACTGCTGCTGTAATCTACAGAGCAGGCACTGTCAGGACTGTGTTTGTCTGGACATCCATTACTGTGATAACCTCTACTTAGCTTCCCATGGGGTAATGCTTTTACCTGGAACTCACTACAAGAGAGACAGGAAAGACACAGCACTAGAAGAGATATTTGTTTTACATGTAAAGAAGCACATTCTAACTTTAATAAGGCCTTACCTGTGTTAGTAACACCTCTGATTACAAAAGTAAGGCTTTAAAGAGAAAAAGAAGTTGATTTCTCTCATCATTACACAGTATATTTTTGCATTTCATTAAGCTTGGACAGTGAAGTCTCAAGGGGACTGTCTGACTTTCTGGGCGTTGTCAGTTTCCCACGATTACCAGGTACCAGCACAGCACTGCCGTGCCTTGATTTCCACTACAGGCAAGGAACGAATGTAGAGGTCTACATAATGAAAAAGGGACTAAAACCAGGTCTATATACCTGCATGATAGAAACTCCAGTTTGCCATAGATTTGAGCCCTAATATACTATTTTTTCCATGTTTATGACCTGCTTCTTTGGGCAACTTCCGTGTTGCAAACCAGAGAAGATTCTAGGTTTGAGCAAGACTAATCTACTGAAGAACATCATACAAAAATACAGTATTGTAGGACAGGGATCCTGATTTCTGTTGTGATTTCACAAGTCTTATTTTGTCAAACACCACCAGCACTGTTCTTTTGCCTGATGCTTTAGGATTTCAGTTTTCTACTTTATGAAATACTTTGGTTTCAGATGTTTTCCAATGCAAGGTAGGATGCAGAAGTCACTCAATGGAACCGAATGGCAATTACCCCTGGCAGTTTGGAAACTTTATATACTTTGAGATGTGTCCAGTCTGCATCTAGCATCACCAGAGTGCCTCCCTTTCTTACATGATGGAGCATGGGTCTGCTCTTGTCCAAATGTTATCATAATAAAATTGAAAATGCAAATAAAGAGAAATTGGGAGAAACCTAGCAGCTTCAACTGCAAAAATCTTTGCATGCATTCTTGCATAAAGCCTGCCTAAAGTTATCAGCCCACTCTTTATAACAGAGCAGGAGGAGACAGAGGAAATTAAGCAGCTATTAGCATCAGGTTAAGAGGGCAAGGGAAGAATAAAATTCAGGGAAGGAAAAAAATGGAGCACAGAATGAAACAGAAAATTGAGATAAAACAAAAACAGAAGAAACAGCAGAGGAAGGAAAAAGGTCTCTGCTGTCTCCAGTGTCCTTTTCAATTCCATCCATTTCATACAAACAATTCCATTTCCCACAAAAGGGTCATCACATCCTACATTTGTTAAATTCTTGCCCAATTAGGTTTGAAATTCTCATAAATAATAGTGTCCTGTCATTTCTCCTGGGCAGACATTTCACTGCCACGTATAAGTCACTGTTGGGTGGTTTTCCAGCTTCCAAGTTTTCTCTTGTTTATTTCAACCCACATAAGGGAGAAAGCAAAAAGGCTGCTCACAAGTTGTTTATTCAACAAGAAAAAAACTTGGAGGAGGCTGCTAATGTGCAGTTTCCTCAGAGGAAAGATTATTTTAATGGTGCCTTCTCAGTTTCAGATTCCTTTAGCATCAGGCTGGCATAAAACTCTCAACTAGACATGCCTGGCATCAATCAGGCAGTAAGTCAACTCACCCAAGTTACCACACAAGCTGCAAGCAAACTAAACCAGAAATGCCTAAGCCATGCACAGCAGAGAGCTTATTTTTAACCTGCTAGGGTCTGTGGGATGGATTTCATCTTGCTCAGGGTAGATTACACACTCCTCACTCTCAGAAGGTTCCAGCTCCTGAGAGAAAATCCCATCTTCACAAGACACAAGCCGAATCACTTTGGGTCTTACACAAGACCGGTTATCTTGGAGAGGTACTGAGCTGCCAACCTGGTTTAAAAAGAGAGAAAACTAGATATTACCACTGTTTTTCCTTAAGTCAGCAAGTACTGTACAGAGCTAGAAAGTATGCATTACAGCACAGAATATGATCAGAAATCTGAGATCAGAAAACACAGCACTCCTATGTCTTTCCCGTTTCTTATTTACTAAACTCGACAGACTGCTGCTGTTTGCAATCCCTTAAAATTCTCTGGTAAAATACTGGACTTTCCATCTCTCTTTGACCACACATCAGGAACATAAGCCACATGGCAGCAGGTTCTTCCATTACCTTTTACAGACTGATCAGACATAGTTCAGAGAAGTCTGTGGGCCACAGCTGAAAAACACTGATGTACTGCATGCAGCAAGCCCAATCCTCTTCTCAGTCATGCAGTTATAAAGGAAGGAAAAACTCTAATGGAGTTAGGCACCAGGACAGATTGCTACTGGAAAACAGGCATTAGCTTTCTGAGGTATGAATACACATTACTTGCTGTGACCCATCGATAGGAAGATTAATGACAACTTAATAATCTAGCACAGCCCACAACTAAGGGCATCATATGAGCCACATTTCAGTGGCTACTTGAGTCAAGAAACTGCATTCCAGCAGAGTGAGCTAAAAGGTAATTAGGTGCACATCTGTAATTCTGAGGTCAGCCTCTCAGCTTCTTTTTGCCATAAATAACCAAAGAGCTGAAAGAAAACACGAGGTCTTCCCTGTCATTGGAAAGAAACCTTGATCTGACATGGGGTCTGTGATTAGATAGCAGAGTCACATGTTGCAGGACTACTAACTACAAAACAGGTTTCTCAGAAGGCATTTAGAGCCATGTCTAAACATATAAAGAATGGCATCAGGTAGTAAACAAACATAGGTGATGATAAACAGAGGCAGGACAGATGCACTCAGAGTAGATTCACCTCCTGAGTAGTACTGCCCTTACTTTGTTGATGAGCACAGGAAGATCTGCCTGCTCTTCTCTCTCGTCCCCATTGCTGTTTTGAGACAGCGAGTCTCGACTTGGAGAACGGGAAACAGAGAAAGACTCCAACTGACGCAGGTCAAGCATGGATTTCACAGTCATTTCTATGTTGCTGGTGGGCTGGGACCAGCGCCCACGTTGCCGGGGCATCTTGCTCATTGGTGCCTCTGAGCGCTGGATTGCTGCTATCTCTTTGGCCTGAAGGAAAATGAAAGACAGACAGTCTTAGAAGCTGAGTTCTGCTGATGGAAAAACAAGAGAGAAAACACAAGACCCACAGAAAAACACAATTATGTCCATCTCCATAAAAGTCCCAAAGCTTTCTGTGAGACAGCTTAAAATTCCTCCCTTAATCATAAAGCATCAAGTAAAGACGATACACTTGTTGCTCCTTCTTGTGTAACTGAACATTTAAATGCCTCGCTTGGATCCAAGTGTACGATCAGCTTCAGCATCACATGAGATTCAGACCAGAAATGAAGGGGCATCTGATGGAAAGATACTGATGTAAAAATCCCAAGTGAAACTGCCTCTTAAACTAGGCTCTATTTTGCCACCCTCAAGTCATTCTTCACAGACAGGTTTCTCAATGGTTTCCCACCGCAGCTGCACCTTTCCCACCAGTGTGACTAAAGCTTTTAATCGCCACAGGAATTTCTTTTCCAATTTCCCTATAACAAGAAATACAATTTGAAGGTTTAGCAACTCACCCTCCTCATTTCCCAATGGGAAAGGCTTCTTGAGAGGGAAAGGTCTGGATCTGGAAAGGGGAAAAGATATATACCTAGTTGACATCCTTGGCCAGCTGTCCAGCTTTTAAAAGACCTCTTACCTCATAATTCCTCCAAGGCAGCATTCCTGTACCTTTTGAACCAGCACATCACTGCCAACATATGCTTTTCCATAGACTACCAAATTGTTGTATCAAAATTTTAACGGAGATGTACTGTTTTATCTAAGATTTTCACTGACTCAGCATACCCATTGCAGAACACTTGCCGCAGTGCAGTGGCCCACCAAAACACCCTGCTCCAATACTCTACAGCATCTGTGGTAAAAATACCTCAAATTAGTAATGGTAATCTCTACTGGAAGTAGATTTGGCTTCTGTAGACTTCCAATAGCTTGCAGACCCAAGCCCAGGACACTAATTTCAAAATTTGTTTGGCCAGTTGAAACTAGCAAGAAACTTGGCAATTTAACAACTGAATTTCTAATCAGCAAACTCTGAAATGTACCTCTCTTCAGATGCAGGAATGAGCAGCTCCAGATTACCCATCGATGTTGATCCATCTGTTTCTGCCTTGGTCTTTCTGCCCACATCTTGATATCCCTAAGCCAGCGTCTCTTATTTTGTCACCCCTTCACATTCATGCCATTTTTCCCCACCTCTGCCCATGTCCCCCTCGCATTTATACCTGAGTCTCTCTCAGTGTTGCAGTTGGACTGAAGATGGAAAGACTGCAGCCCACGTAGCTCATCTTCATCATTCCCTTCATCTTCACCATCCTTGTCACTGTCTGATGAGAGTGCAGGCACAGAGGACAGGGCAGAGATGGACTCATGTCTGGGAGGCAGGAATTAGAAGGAGTATTATGGTCTATCTCAAGAACTGCCCACCATTTCAATCCCTACATCAGGCAGTTCTCCACCTTATCTCCATCCACACTCAGCAAGCTGCCTCAACTCTTGCTCTAGCAAAACCCATCTCTGAGAAACAGGGCAAGTTAAACCCTGCACAAAGGTGCACAGAGCCTGCCACAGCAATTGTCTCATCTGTGCAGAAGGATGACAGAAATCACAACAGAAGTAAACGACTCTAAGAAAGTCAAGTGGAATGAAACCTGGCCTTCCATTTCAGACCCCACCAATTCATAAGGCCAAGACGGTACAGCATATTTGAAAAGCAAATATTTTTCCCACCCTTAAGCATTTCCTCTCTGGAACTGTTTTGCACATCAGAAATGTCATAGAGATACTTCCTGTTTGACAGCAATTGGGTATATGGCAAATTACCACATAAGAGACAGGTTCATACCAAGGATTGCACCATGCAGAACTTGAAGGCACAGCCCACATACCGTAAGGGCACCGTGCTGCCTTTTTTAGCTTTCAGGCACAAGGAATAATGTAAAACATATTTTGGGCAGATCTTTAATCAAAGTAGATCAGACAAGTGTTCCCACACAGACCTCAGAGGCAGTCCCAGCACAGAATCCCCCAATACCAATCAAGGATACTTACCAACCCCAAATTCTACCTTCCCACTTTCTTCTCCTCTTCCCCTTCCTCCCCTCACCACTTCGGTCAACAAAACCAAATGAACTAACCCACTTTGGACAATAATCGAACAAATGAAGAATCCCTAACAAATAAATTTGAGTAGTGTGCTCCACAGCCTTGAACTAGAGTGCCAAACTCATCATTAGTGACATTTATAGGATATCACTGGTGGGTGTTGAGTGCCAAGCATTATTCATGAAATAAAAATAGCTCATCCACCAAATACAGAGCAGCCTGGCGAGGGACCAACTTCTCCTGTAGCTGACAGATAGCAGGCAGCATTGAAACATGGTAAGAGGAGTTGAAGCATTTTAATCTTTTCTCTTCCTGTATAGCGGCAGAACATTAATTTCCACTGCTCAGTGGCTGAGCAATAACTACCCAACCCTTTTGGATGAGCTTTGAGGTGTTTGGGCAAAAAGAAGAGTGAAACTGACTGAAGTCTGCAGAGTTCTCCAGTGAAACAGTTTCATGTTGGCTGTCCTCATCAACTTTTGACATTTGAGTTTGTCAGTGTCTTCGTCTTTTATACTGTCTCCTTGTGTGTCCATCTTGTCACTCTCAGGTTCCTGTGTCTAAGCAGGGGAATCCCAACAAATTTCAAGTACCACAGTATGTTTGAGGTTATGTCAAGTTTCATCCTATGAGGTACATTACATCTTGTTCATACTTAGATGGAAGTCAGAGTAATGTAGGGTGAGGTTTCAAGCATGGGAGCTGCTTTCAAATAGGCACCACACGAGAGCATTTTTGAAAGCAAAGGAGTAAGACTTCTGGGTTTTGCTGAATTCCT